AAATTTACAAAATGCAAACGCGGTTATCACCGGTGTGGGTTTGAACGCGGATGAATGAGATGACTACTGAGTGGGAGGGCACATACCTGATCTGACTCAAAAGGCTCTTCAATCTCTTTGAAGCTGGCGAGCAAGCGAATATCCGTGCATATCTTGTGTACGGTGGCACCGAGACTAGATAGTACGCTCACGAGTTCAGTGTCTAGTTTGCGTGGATACGTCTGTCCTGTGACTCTCCAGAGTTTCGAAAAACCAGCCTTGGCGGCCACGAACTCATCAAGGCGTTTGACCTGCACAGACAAAAGATAAAATGTATTGAAGCTACCTGAGAGTTTTCACAACGTAAGGGAATTAGGTTGTTGAAGTAATAATTTCGGGGTTGAAATACAAATTGAAATGTGTAGCTCACGAAGAACTTACCAAAATAGTGCACTGAAGTAGGAACTTAAAACTAAAATTAGTAAACTTTTCTACAATCGGGTGAAACAAGTATAGCCGGCCTTAGCGTTCAAAAGGTGGATGAAATGCCCGGCGGACATAAATAAATTATTCTGCCCGATAATGCTGATGCATACATCTCGCAAAGCGATTTCGAAAGGAGGATAAACGTGAAATCTGAAGGCAGATACCATGGTTACTTCAACTACTTGTCCCTGCTACTCATGTCTCGGTCTCCTCCGGTCAGTCCTTCTCTATGGTTTTGAATGATGGGCTGTGCAAGTAGATGGACGAAAACCGGAGATATTCAACCATCACTGCTTGAGGACTATCCTTCAAGCCAGGTTCACCTACTTCGTCTCAAATGAGACAGTTGACGCTCACCGAGACAAAATCGCAAGGATATCCCAGGCCATCCAAGAACGACGACTGAGATGGTTCGTCGTGCACCCCACGAGCTCAGTTCTTCTTCCCTCAATCCGGCACCGTCACCCACTCTGGAGCGTCGAAGAAGGGTTTAAATCAAAACCTGGCTCGACACAGTTCGTCAAGACATGGAAGTAGTTCTTGGACTTTCCACATCCAGTCTGCGCAGATGACGAACAAAATGGGCCGAAATGTCTAGATCTGCTGTCGCGTATCGTCACGCGTGGACAGGTACTGTCTGTGACGTCATAGGGGCCGGCTAGGTCAGGCATGATCGCAGATGCACCAAGTACAGGCAAGTTTAAAAATAGTGCCTTGAAAGATGCATGCATATACGCAGGTAAATAATGCTATTCCCCAGCAGACTAAAAAGGAGCATCACGTTACTGTACGCTAAGCACAGTCATAAATGACGTTTGCTGACGTTCGCCGAGGCTTCTACTCTGCAGAGAAATAATATACACCGGTTGGTTAAAAGGCAATTTTATCACATTTTTTTCCGAAGATGCCACACTCCAGGCATCATTCAACAATTTTATTAAGGAGCACGTAAGTTTGAGGACACAAAAACCACTGTGAAAGATAGAGCTGAATTACGTACCTGAAAAGTCTACTGTGTAGAGCTACATAGTAGCACCCGGATAATTGAGAAAAAAACAAAGAACGGAAGTGTCCGTTACTAGGTTCTACGGTTTATAGATATGGTTTACTCGTGAGTACTCCTGTGATTGCGCTGGGTCCAATGCCCAATCCTCGACTTCATTAATATTTCTCACATCTCAAATGATTCTTTTATGCAAAAGTATTGTCTGTGCGTGATGTAACTTTTTAAACTACAATATCAAGAGTCGATGCAGGAGAGTTGTAACGACAAAACAGAGGGGGGAGGGTTATGCGTAAGATTACTACGGCCCCTTCTAGTTGTCGGTTTTGAATATTTTACTGACGGTCACGGATACGTGTTTCTAGTGGTCATGAACTGCTATTAAACCTGAAACCAGGGGCGGGGGTTGAGGTAGGCCTGGACAGTATCAGGTCCAACACTCCTATGCACGAAAGTGGAGCACCGACTAAATAAATATCGATGAGCTTCTAGCCGTTGGCCACACACGTTTATGACATCCAAGACACAGGAGCTGGCTAAATCAGAACGACTAGTAGTCATTTAGAGTGCAAAAAAGTAAAATAGAAGCACCAGTCACGCACAAAGGAATGAACTGATTGATTAAAATGATCAAATGTTAATAGGTACTGGTCTTTCTAAAGAACACGCTTGGATTTTCAAGTTTTTGCAAACTTCAGGTAAGTGCTTCTGGAACTCTTTCTATTAACCTACATACGTAAATGTTAAATTGGTCAGTCCTTCATTCAGCGTTTCTATATCCACAGGGAGAAATGAAACCTACAAACAGCCGATAGCCCCTGAACGTAACGAAAAAAAGCCAATATTTGTCTTTCGAGAAGGTTTGACAACTTCAAACCAGTGGAGCATAAAAGAGTAATTCTAGACATAACATTATTTCAACAAAACAAGAGTGAAGTAAGCATGTGAATCAAAACCCGGCCGGTTGGTAAGGCGAAACGCGTGAAAACT